CTTTGACCTTGTCTGCACTACAGAGGGTTTGCTGGTACAGCTATAGTGGTAACTCCCCTAGTGGAGACGCTGCTTGTGCCATCAAAAGGATGTTTTTGCTAGTATAACTGTGTCTACACTAGGGATTTTCGCTGGTATAAAAATATTGTAAAGAATCAGTCCCCTAACTAACATTATTATGCGAACAAAAGTTTCTAGTTTAAACCTGGCATTTGTCAATGCTGTTGTACTTCTATCACTTGATTGGCCACTAGGGAATACACCAAGATCACAATTTGTAAAACTTTACTCACAGCATCACTTATCTTTTTCCATCCCCCATTTTAAAATGTGTGTGTACAATTTTTCATTCCCTCAACCCCAGATCGCCATGATGCACTGTATGTCGTAGGAGCACTGGATGAAACTTTGGAGCTGAGGGGACTCCGTTATCATCCAATTGACATAGAGACTTCAGTATCTCGAACGCACAGGAGCATTGCTGAATGGTAAACTAGAACACTAGCTTAATATGCCTGAGAGAGAACAAACTGTCCGGGAGCCTTATGCTATGTGAACAATGGGATAATCCAGGATTTGTGCAGAGGAAAATGGGAGCAGTTGTTCCCAAATGTAGAAAGGACTGTGGCTGGGAATCCTGTTCCAAGTCAGAAGTGTAACTTTAATATGCAGCTCCTCAACACTTTTCCTCCCCCAGCATACTGCCAGCATCTCCTTGCTAAGATACTGGATGTGTAGTCTGCTCACAGATAAGTGTGAAGAGTTCAAACGTATGCTACATCATGTATGCATTATGCTAGAGCTGCCTTCCACGAACTGGGTACCTAAAAGTAATGAAACAACAGGGAAAGTTCTGGTATGTGCACTGTTTGTACATCATCATGCTGTCTGGGGACCTGAACAAAAGAGGAAGATATGGGAAGGGGGAATAAGATTTGTAACTTCATGTTTATACAAAATGTATGCATTAAGTATATATTTTTATTAAATTTCAGTGCTGTGTTCACATGGACCAACTTGCTGGTGGTAGTTGTGGAGCTGTGTGGCTGTGAACAGGAAGCCCTGGATTTAGTCCCTCTAGTTACCAACGTGGTTCTGGAAGAACATTACCTAATCGTGGGAGTTGTGGTGGTGGTGGATCCAGGAGTTATTCCCATCAATTCCAGAGGAGAAAAACAACGGATGCATCTCCGCGACAGTTTCCTGGCTGATCAGTTAGATCCCATCTATGTGGCGTATAACATGTAATGGGTTAGAGGGGATAATGTTCACAAACTTTGTAGGACCACTAAAATGATCAATGGTGGCTATAGAAATGAAGCTGGTGAAAAGTACTAATACTTGATGTCAAGTTTGTGATTGCCATCGTATTCCCTTCATTTCATCCTATGGGATTATGATCACATCAGCAACTGAGGGTCAAGTGGAAATATGGTAGACAATGGAAAATGTTTGTAACAGTTTACTGAACATTAGCTTTATAGACAATGCAAAGTTGACAAGTGTGTGAGCTACAAAATTCCTAAGGCCTTTACAGTAGTGTTACTTTTTTCATCTGTTGTACATATTTGTATTTTTATCTAATACTGTTTTATGATTCTATAAGGGGAGGGTTTATTTACTTAAGATAATAAACTTATTAAGAAAAGAGTCATCAGAGTCCTGCAGTTCCCCAGTATATAATGTACTTTGCAACTATACTGTAGCTGTTCGTTCCATGGGATCTCACTGCTTATTTAAAATTGTGCCATGACCAAATCCAATAACCCCCTGAAAGTAAGAATTACTTATTCATATAGATATTTCTTTAATTTAAAATGGATTTTGCCTATATTTTTAAAATGTAAATATTAATATACATAATTCACATAGAAAATTGGCTTAAGTAATGATGAGGACTGTAATTTGGTTAGACAACTAATGTGAAAATGCAAATCTTACAAAAGTTTTCTTAATTCAGTATGTATGTAGTCTTTTATTGCTGGCCAGAATGTCATAGTATGTAGAAGCCTATGTTTTTAAGGCACATCTTTCTAAATGAGGTTGAAGTATTTAAGCTTTTGAAACACTAAAAATAAAATAAAAATTTGATAGAAACTGCATTGCATCTCCAGAATGCTTAACTGAAATTTGTACGCTTGTGAGACAGCCTCGGCTTCCTCTCATTACAGAGCTTTGCGTTTAAAAAACGAAAAGCTAAGATTATGGCACAGATTGACAAAAATAATTAAATTTATTGCTGGGATTGTGGCTCCATCCTTAATTTATTCCACAGTGTGCCCACAGTTATAGCAGCAAATGTAATGTGTACATGGGCTTTATATGGAAAATGCCCTGAATTTCCTTGAGGCATTCACCAGAAAGAATTTAATGATTCTGGAAGGGAGTTGGCTGAAATCAGCAGTGTGATTTTTTTTTTTTTTTTTTTAAAAAACAAGAGGGACAAAGTGGCAACAGAAAGCAAGGAGAATGTTGTTCCAGTGCACGCATAGTGAAATATCTTCAAAAAAGTCAAGATTACAGCATCCCGAAATAGTTGGTGAGTTTGCGGCCTTTATAAATGCTGAAAAGCAGAAGCCTTAAAGCATGCAAGAACACTAACCGTTTGGAAGTTATTGTAGTTGTCTGGCACAGTGGGCTGAGGGAGAGACAAGGTTTCAGAAGCAACTATCTTTCTTTCATCTCACCTTTAACAGCATTTGAGCATAGTTGAATTTCTTGTTTTTTCCCTTATGTGATTAAGAAAACAAAACTTTGGAAGCATATAAGACCTGACAGCAGAAATTGTAACAGCTCTTTTGGGCCAATTATGGTCTGTTATGTAAATACATGCTTAAAATATTTTAATATGTATTATTTACCCCTGTAACAAGTATACAGTGTGTTTAGGTAATTTTTATAAATGTTTATAATGTAAACTTGTATAAATCCAAATCTATAACAGCTATATTAAGTGCTGCTGTGACAGCCATCTGTAAACAAGTCGTGGTTCTGTACTTGAAACCCCCTCCTCATGAATGCTTTATAACAGTTCTTCATTTGGGGCTGGAGTGTTAAAATTCAGATATAAAGCTCTGAATATATTCTCAAAATATTTAGGGTTAATTTGCCTGTCATAGAGGTGGAAGGATGTATCTTAATTGAGTATGGCAGGTCTAACAGAGGGAGAGAATTCTTTACACACAAGCAGCTTAAAAATTTACTTTTCTAAAGAGTTGATGTTAAATTCCTAGATTTTGAAATAAGACCCTCGTGGATATTTTAAAATAACAGTATTTCCACAGTCATACTGCTAGGTAGTTATAAAGTGTACAGAGCCTCCATATGAATGTGGTTTTAACAGATCCTCTACAGAAATTAGGAAATGGACAACTGTGTAGTTGTTGTTGATACAAATTAAATGCTAGTGTAGATCAGCTGGGTAACAGCATATAAATTGCCTATGACCAGCCCTGACCTCCTTGAGAGAATCTCCCCTTTTTATTACACACTTTCCTTGTATGGCAGGAATGATTTGCAATGCAGCTTCACTTTGTTCTTCTGACTGTTGAGAAGACAGTTCTGAAAGGCTTTTTTCATATCCTAGTTACTTAACTTTTTAGATGCATTGTTCTGAAAATATTAAATCCTTGTCCACTGAGGGAGAACCATAGCACAACTCTAGAAACTTTGATTGGGTTTCTCCATTTACGTAATTTTGCATTAACAAAAATTCACAAATGTCTTGTGATATGAATTTAATCAAGGATTGCTAATATGTGCAGTGCAGAGAGACTTTTAGAGTGGCATTTTGGAACTTTCAATCTAGAAGGCTGAAGTTCTCTCTCTAATACTGAAAAGCTCAGTAATTTTGATTTCTCCTCACTCCACCTCAACTTGAATTTCTAGAAGCTGAATAATTTTGTTTTTAAATATGTCTAGTTTAGTGTGATTCTAATCAACTGTATTCTGATCCATACATTTCTGTGACTAGGGAACTCATGGATTCAAATTGTAATCTACGGTCTTTTTGTCCCCTCAAATCTTGTTTCCTGATAAGTAGCATATAGAAATGGCCAACTTTGACATTACTGGTGCTTCTGAGAGTGTGTTCAGCATAACAGGAAAAAGCGTGTGTTAGCGGAATGAACATGGGCTGGGTGTCAGGAAGTCCTGGATTCTAATAACAGTTTTGCTGCTGACTTGCTGTGTAGCCTTGGGCAAGTTATTTCACTGCCTTAGTTGGCAAATCTATAGATGGGGATACAATCTAATCCTTATGACGTCCCTGTAAATAACTAGTTATTCAGCACTAAGTATCAGTCGCTGATGTCTCCTTGAGTTTGGGAGCACAGTGGCTCTTCCAAACTGATTAACAACTAATTTGATTCATTTTGGGAGAGCCTTGAGAGATGTAACCAATTCATCCAAAAATATTTTCTCATTGTAATAGGGAAGAATCCCCTAAGTGAATGACTCTTGACATTTAGATTAAGGAACCTGGCTGGCCACCAAAGGCTTTGACATTAGCTATTCCTGTTCAGAGCTGGATTTGCCTCTTCCCCCATCATAACCATGTATGGTATCCTTTTGAATCCAGCAATGAGTCCAAAGGGGCAAACCTACTCATGTTCAGCTCTCCACTCCAGTTTGGCTTTTTGCAGTTCATCCAGTTGCAGAAGCAAATAAACGTCCCAATAGTGTCCATGCCATGAATCTGAGTTGAGAGCTGCAGTGTACCCTGAGAACTGTTACCTCTGAACTAAAAAAAGTTCTTATATACCTGACTATTGTATGATTACTGCCCTAGCAAAAGTATTTGTGGCATAAAATTGCAGTACTTTACATAAGTCTGTCTGTTAACACTTACACTGCGCTTCTGATAACTCTGTAATTAAATTGGGTCATACTATTTGTCCTGGAGATAAAATTGTAAAAACAAGATTAAATTTTTAGCCTAAATGTAATTTTTCTTTAATTACTATCAACATATTTACCATTGTCAAATTCAGACTACAACATTATGTAATTATGTATAAAGGTTTTTTATTTATTTGAAATTAGAGTAGATACATTTTTAAATTTAACACCTGGCTGGACAGTGTTCCATCAACGCATTGATTGTGTTTCCTTTGTCTTGTATTAATAAATATTGATGCCTGATTGCTTTCCTAGTTCTTCATCTGCTGTCTCTCTAAACTTCTTCCTTGAGGAAACAAACATTGGGTGTTACTTGTTCTGGTGAATTTGGGAGCACGAATGCATTTTTCAGATGCATTAAATTGTTCGCATTCACTGATATATGCAAAACCTGTTGTATTGCGCAGTGCTAGCAACCTGAACCTGTGAGGAACTGAGCGCTCTCAACTTCCATCAAATCAAAGATGTGCAGACCTAAAGTACTGGGCCCCTGTATCATTTCAGATCAGATTATAGTTGAGATCCATTGGGTGAGGGAGGACTAATGTGCAATCAAAACATTACACACTTATTTTTAATATTTTACTTTGAACAGTGATTTGTTCTTAAATTGCTAAAAACAGACCATCACTTGGCTTTTGTTTAGTTTGTTTAATAATTTCTGATAAGTAGGTTATTGTAAAAAATTGCTATTGATCAATCTCAAAATATTTTACATTATGAATTGTTTGCATTAAGAAAAAAATTAAAGCTTTCACGTGGGATTTTAAAATACATTCAGCATTACACTTCAGTGGGCGCAGAGTTAGGCCACTGCTGAGTGCTTTCGAAAATCTCACACTCAAATATTTATCTTGTATAACTGAAGGTCCTATTCAGCAAAATGCTGAGCACCTTGCAAATCCCACTGAAACCACTGTGGGTTGAGGGCACTCAGCAAGTTACAGGATCCAGCCCTTACATGGTTTACTAAGGCTACTTTCTCCTGATATGACGTTTTCATATCCATAATTAATTTTGAAGTGAAACAATTTCAAAACAGGTTTCAGAGTAACAGCCGTGTTAGTCTGTATTCGCAAAAAACAGGAGGACTTGTGGCACCTTAGAGACTAACCAATTTATTTGAGCATAAGCTTTCGTGAGCTAAAGCTCACTGTATCATATGCATCCGATGAAGTGAGCTGTATGTAGCTCACGAAAGCTTATGCTCAAATAAATTGAATTTCAAAACAGGAATCACTTATCCTATCTGTGTTCAAGTTTACTATTATACTAAATTGTTTATCTAGAAAATATATATCAGTTGAACACAATTTACTGTACCATAACTGACACGCTGAATTCTGATTGCCCTTGAACATGTGTGGTGCTTCAGCCAATTAGAAACCAGCCTATTCAAACAGCAAATAGACAGTTTCATTTCACTTTGTGAATAAATTTGTGAAAGCTCAGCCATCCTGCAATCTGGTTTAAAACAATGCAATTTGTGGTGTGACTTTTAGCAAAGTTACAAATTTGTCAGGGTGCTTTCACTACATGCACAGCACTGTTTGCTCACTCTACCATGTTCCACAAGATTTTGTCCATGATTTTAGGAAATGTGGACTTTTGAAATATAAATTCTTTTTTAACTAAGGTATATTATCTTTGTACTCTGGCATTAATATCAGTTAAGCCATTTAAAGGTTTGACTTAATTTAAACACTGTACTGTTAATTGTTATGGACATTATTTGTATTATTGAACACTGTTTACATTGTCAGACATATTAAGTGTCTCTCTTGACCTTGGACTATACCTGTTGGCCCCATTTATTTATTGTCAGGGAACATTTTTATGCCATTTATCTCCTCTTTAATACACTGAGAGAGAGATAACTGAAAACAACCATTGACATGTACAGGATAAAAATACCAGTAAAGTTGGAAAGAATGTTAGACTATTTTGTTATATTAAGTTTAAAACCTAGGAGGAAAAAACCCAACACTGTTAATATTCCCCACCCTTAAACTTTCTTTGGCCAGCTGTCATGGCAGAACAGCTACATTTGGTTTTCCACTGAGAGATGAGATAGGACATTTGGCATTATCTGAGATTCAACATTGAATAATCTGTGCTGTCAAAAACGAATGATAGAGATTGTGTTGAAGGAAATCTTATCTACTTCAAGTATCTGTAGATGTAAATAAATACTTTGGTAAAGTGAGATTATAATTTTTATTATCCAGCTCTCTGTGTATAAAATGTGTGTGTAGATCTATCCAAACAGGCTTTTCCGAAAACCCTAAATGGTAGGCCTACTGTGCTTTCCTTTTTTATATTAACACATTCCCTTTCCAGAAAGCCTTTTTCACATAGCTTAGCTTGATATAGAATAAAAATAAACAGTTGAAGGTGTATTTCTGTAATTTTCTGCTATTTCTAGGACACACAATGATTTATTCAATCTTGGTTGTGTGGGGGAACTATGTAAATATAAAAGGATAATTAATCTGACTAGAGAGTCTGGAATCATACAGGTATCCAGCATGACCGCAATGATCAGTGCTTTATTAGTTATGTTACTCTTTTTATTTTCTAATTCCTTTTATCATGCCTTTCAAGAAGTGGGCTTAGATTTCAATTACTAAATTTGTTGGGTGATTTGAGGACACTTTTTCAGTTTTGGTTACAACAGTACTATCAAGATATGCTTATAAGCTGGTGAGGTATTATAGCAATATATTGTAACTTTAGTACTTTACTTATTCCTCTGGCACAGTACTGCTCAAGAGTTGTCTTTGTCTAAACAGATTCTTGAGAATTTAGAGTTTGAGCTGTAGTTTCAAGAGGAATTTTAAAAAAATACCAAGGACATATTAACAAAGCATTTTTCTATTTGAAATATTTTACATATTATTCTTTTAAAAAAATCTCAAAAACTGTTACTCTGTGGCATTTGTCTCCTGTGTATACTAAAATGAGCCTGCAGCAGGACAGTGTGCCAAGATGTCTTGCAGTGAAGCAAGCTACTGCTTCCAAAGTGAAATGCATATCAAAATGGTGTTGGAGAAAGAGTTTGGCATTAACTGTCTGTATTTCACAGCCTCCCCATCAGCTAATTTCCTGGAAGGGGAGATATATTATTACTAGGATGTCTTAAGAAATTTAGATTCACAGTTGTAACTACATTACATTAAATGTAAGGGCAATCCTCCAAACCTCTTTGTAAACCTTTCATGATAGGGTTGTAGTATTCAGATGATGAAAATTTAGGTTTCTGTTGCTTGTCTTAGATGTCAGTCACATCTACAGCTATAATTCAGCCCCCTCACCAGCCACGTGGAGCAATGAGGTGTTTTATAATTGCTTTAACATAGAACTAGAAGTCTGAAACAAACCAAATACCCATTTGTTTTTTTCCTTGAATAGCAAACCTTTTACAAACAATTTTGTACACACTGAGGCAAAAGTCTTTTTGTACAATATTTTAATTTAAAGGGTCAATGTCAAGTCAAATTTATCCCCAAATTTACAGTTTGGAGGTGAAGAAATACCTTCTGTAAAACCTATACCCCCAAAAAAGTTATATTTTAAAATTAAACTAACAATTAAAATACTCCCTTTATTTGTAACACAACACGGCATAATGTTAGTGCAGGAAAGTAAAATTTACAACTAGAAACTAATGAAAAAAATGGAATTGATTAGTCTAAGGGCATGGCTACACTGGAAACTTCAAAGTGCTGTCGTGGGAGCGCTCCTGCGGCAGCACTTTGAAGTGCGAGTGTGGTCGCACCCAGCAAGGGCTGGGGGACAGGTCTCCCAGCACTCCTGGTAATCCACCTCCATGAGGGGATTAGCTCCGAGCACTGGGAGCATGGCTCCCAGCACTCGGAGCCTGTTTACACTAGCGCTTTAAAGCGGTCTGACTTGCTGTGCTCGGGGGGGGTGATTTTTCACACCCCTAAGTCAGCAAGTTAGAGCGCTGTAAGTGTAGCCAAGCCCCTAGTGTCTGAGCTTCAGAACTAACAAATGAAATGTAACTGAAATATTTTAATCTATATTTTGTTTAAATCCCAAATTTACCAAGAATGATCATTTAAAAAAGAAAATAACTGGGAAGGGATTGATTTTAAAAGTCAATTACTGTTAAACTTTTAATACATAATAAAGATAAAACAAATATCCAACTAATGTAAATATTAAAAACCTAAAACACAGGAAAAAGGGTAAAGGTGACATGCCTCAAGGTTCTGATGACATCAGATCATGAACTTTGTCATAGTTACCATCTTGTCATCGGAACACTTCATCTGCGTGTTGCTGGCAGCTGTGGAGGGTGTGTGGCTTATGTATACACAAACTGAAAAGTATTTACATTCTATTCAATGTAATTACATTCTAGCCTTTGTGGGCCTGCTCCAACATTCATTGAAGTCAGTGGAAAGATTCCTCCTGAATTAAATTATATGTGGATCAAACTTGACACAGCTTCCATTACAGTAAATAGCTAAACTCTCTGTAATTGGGACCCTAAAGGTAGCTGTGAAAGAATCACTGTGAACAGAAAGGGAATGTTACTCATAATGTACTGTACTAACTACCACTTGCAACTTTTATTAATTTTTCTTTGAGATTATTTATGCAGATAAAAAGGTAGCAATCTGTATGTATGTTTCAATCTTAGAGTAAGAATGTTGGCAAAAAGATAAGATTGCTACATACATTTACATGTTTGATCTCTGCTCTTAGTCTAAAGCCACCTTTACTATGCAATGAGGCTAAAGAGAAACCCAAGTCTATTTTCAGTGATGTAACTTCCTCTATTTTAAACTGTATTGAAACAATAGTGTTTTTAAAAAAGTCTAACAAGAATTGCTTAAAATTGCACATCATTGTATTACAGACATACTTATAATTTAAAGGAAATATATTTTCTGGCATTGGTTTGTTACTGTATTTAAATTCTGATGGCTTAGATGTTAACCACCATTAAATTAAGTATCATAATTTTGTGGCAATATTTGATGTTTTGCTTTATTCATGTTTGATTGGTACATCTGATTCATTTTTTCATATTTCAGTTGCAAAATAAAATTAAATGGTTTTATTTTTGTTTTGGTATGAGTGATTTTTTTGAATATGAAATGCAAAGGGTTCAAGCTGTACAGAAGGTCTCTAAACAAAGTCCATTGTAATTATTTGTATCAGGGGGTAGCCGTGTTAGTCTGTATCCACAAAAACAACAAGGAGTCCGGTGGCACCTTAAAGACTAACAGATTTATTTGAGCATAAGCTTTCGTGGGTAAAAACCCCACTTCTATTATTTGGTGTTACATTTAAATAATTATTTCTCGCTATTGGAGATTTTTCTTTCTTTCTTTCAGCAACCTGTCAGGCAAGTTGCATAGGCTTTTTCATGCTCTTGCGCAATCTGTTCGCACTGGCTACAGTGCATTAATTGAGCTTTATGTAAACCTAGAACTAAAGAACAATATTGCAGCTTTATGCTAGCAAGGCATCAGCTGTAGGGCAGCGGCAAATTTGGAGAACCATCAGAAAGCATTGTTACAGATGCCAACTGTTAAGTAACATGTTAACACTGTCGTCATTGCATTGGCTTTCCACTTTCTCTTATTGAGACTTAATACATCATCACTAACAAACTGCAGTTAACCATGCTTGCGGTATTAAAGATTGTTGTTGTGTCACAGTGGTTTAATCCAGTGGTTCTCAACCAGGGGTATGTGTGCTCCTCAGGGTACGCAGAGATCTTCCATGGGGTACATCAACTCATCTAGATATTTGCCTAGTTTTATAACAGGCTACATAAAAAACACTAAAGAAGTTAGTACAAACTAAAATTTCATAGACAATTGTTTGTTTATACTGCTCTGTATACTATCCACTGAAACGTAAGTACCATATGTACGTTTCAATTTATTTTATAATGTAAAAATTAAAAAGTAAGCAATTTTTTGGTAATAGTGTGCTGTCACACTTGTATTTGTATGTCTAATTTTGTAAGTTTTAAAGTGAGGTAAAACTTAGGGGTACACAAGATGCTTAAAAGGGGTACACAAGACTCTGGAAAGGTTGAGAGCCGCTGGTTTAATCTTTATAAGAGGTAGTTTATAAAAATTTTCAATATTAAAATGTATGTAAAAAACTATAATAGAGGTATGTTGTAAATAAAATAACTATAATTTCCACTGATGACAGACTTAAAAATCAGGCTAGAGCAAAAGCTGGGGTTTTAGAGTCTCTGCCACCAAAACGCTGAATGGTGCTGTGACATTTTGAAAGAAAACATGTTAACCGTAAACATAAGTACATATAAAAGAATTGCTTTGCCAACAACTGAAATTGAACCTTTGTGGTAGAAATGAGCAGCTGTTTAACAGTGCACAGCAACACTAAACAATTTAGTAGGAAAATGTATAATGATTCTTTTCTCCTAAATGAAGCTTTTATTTTGATTACTGACTGGCTTTAATTTGTTCCTCAAGCAGGGCCTTTTTATTAACACCTTGATGATTATATCTCTCTGCTAATTGGGAAATGCTGGGATTACAGGGTTAGGACATTGCTTGGGTTCCATCGGTTTGTTTCTCAGTATTGTTTGGATGGTCTTTCTTTCAGTATCTCCCTATGTTCGTAGTTTACTTATCTGGAAGGAGTCTGAAAATTAAATTTGCTCACTATAAAAACAATCTCAAACTGAAGGAGGTTTTGAGAATTTAGCACGTTACTGTGTGGGAAGGAACAGGGAGGGGAGAGAGACACTTGAAGAATCTTCTGTGGGTGAGCTAATGTCCTGTTTTTGATTATAATGTAATACCTATAGGCTCCAATCATAAATTGGTACCTTACTGCACTACACCACACAATAAAGCTACACAAAAGACAACAGGTGGAGGGAGCACAAAGGAACAGGGTAATAGGTATATCAGGAATCCAAAACAGTTTTCGCTACAACTACACTTCTCTAGAGTGCCTGACATGTTCTCGTGCAGCTTGAGTGAGGTGTCAGGTGACATGATGTCCCACAAATTACTCTCCTTGCAGACGGGTAATGTTGTTTTGAACATCTGCAGGTTATGGCCATGTTTGTCCCAGGGTGCAATAGAACCTCATAGTTATGAACAACTTGAAAATGGAGGTGGTTCATAAGTCTGCAACCAAACATTGACAGTCAAGCTTTGAAACTTTACTATACAGAAGAAAAATGCTGCTTTTAACCATCTTAATTTAAATGAAACAAGTACAGAACTAGTTTCCTTACCTTGTCAAATCTCCCCCCTCCCCTTAAGTTTAACACTGCACTGTACAGTATTTGCTTTTAGGGTGGGGATCTCTGCTGCCTGATTGTGTACTCCTAGTTCCCCATGATGTGTGTCGTTGACCGGTCGGTTCATGATGCCAGTGTTCACAAGTTAGGTACAACTTAGGTATTGGAAAGACGAGGTGGACGAGGTCCTCTCTTTCATGGGCCCCACTTCGGGGTGGAGACAATGCCCAGCACTGGGGCCGCGGGTTTCACGCCACGGGGAGCAGTGTGGGTCCGTGAAGACCGGGCCGCCCCTCAGCACTGGGGCCGCGGGTTTCACGCCACGGGGGGCCCCTCAGCACCGCTCTCTGGCAGGCGGCCGCCGACTCAGGGCTGACCCATGAACAGCACCGGGAGCTGGGCCGGTGACCCCCGGGCGGGAGGGGTGAAGCCCTGTCCGCGCGCCGCGCCAGCGGGCTGAGGCGTGGCCCTGTGTGCGGAGCAGGGACTGTCCCTCCCGCGGCACGAAGATGGCGGCTGCTGGGCCGATGCTCGGGCCCAGCAGCCCCATCATCCTGGACAGCGGGGCCACCCCCGAGCTCGGCGGGAAGATTCGAGGGGGGGGGGCGGTTGAGGAGGCCTCGGAGGGACGTCGACGTCACTTAGACCTCCGGAACTCTATGGCGCGTCCTCAGGGATGCCCTGAAAGGCGCTCTAGGCGGGGAACTCTATGGTCGGAATCTCTAGCCCAGGCCTCCGGTTGACTCTATGGTTGCAGCCCGCCCACCTCGAGCGTCCCGGCCGGGCCTGCTGTGTTTACGATGCCGGCGGCGCCGGTTTCCTGAGACGGAGACAGCGGCGGCGGCGGCGGCGAGAGCGGCGGCTCTTCCCTCTGGGTGCTCGCGGGGCGAGGAGGGCGGCGCGGCCTCTGGGCCTCTGAGGTAAGAGCGGACGTGAACGACTCAATCAGAGCGCGAGCGGGAAGGGCGGCGGACGCGATCGAATCAAGGAGCGCGAAGGGGGGGGAAGGGACTAGGAGACGCGGACGCTGAGGGAGCGCGCGACAGCCTCGCGCCCAGGGCTTGGGGGAGGGGAGCTCGCGGCTCGCTCGGGTCCCCTCCCCTGGGGGCGTGGGCGAGGCAGCTGCTCTGCCCCCTCCTCGCCGCGCTGGACTCGTTGCTCAGCCCCCGCCCTGTCTCCCCTCACGAGCCGCCCCGCGGGGCCTCGCCTGCGGCCCCTTGGCGCTGCCCCGGAGCCCACGAGCCCCCGAACGGGGCACGCGGGAACGTAGCCGGGCGGCGCCTGCGTTCCCCACGGCTCGTTCCCGCGTGCCCCGGCCAGCGCAGCAGGGCGAGCCCTGTCCGCGCCCCGCATCCCGCCCGGCCTGGCCCTGGGGCCCGCGTCGCCTCGCCACACAGCTGCCGTACCCCGCGCCCCCTCGCCCCGCGTCGCCTGGGGCGTCCGTGCCCCTCGCCCCGCGTCGCCTGGGGGGTCCGTGCCCCGCGCCCCCTCGCCCCGCGTCACCTGGGGTCCGTACCCCTCGCCCCGCGTCCCTGGGGTCCGTACCCCTCGCCCCGCGTCACCTGGGGTGTCCGTACCCCGCGCCCCCTCGCCCCGCGTCGCCTCGCCACACAGCTGCCGTGCCCTAGGGGCCCCCCTCGCCCCGCGTCGCCCCCCTCCCTCAGCTGGGGTCCGTGCCCCCCCCCTCGCCCCGCGTCGCCTGGGGCGTCCGTGCCCCCTCCCCCCTCACCCCTGCGCCCCCTCGCCCCGCGTCGCCTGGGGCGTCCGTGCCCCTCGCCCCCTCGCCCCGCGTCACCTAGGGGGTCCGTGCCCCTCGCCCCGCGTCGCCTGGGGCGTCCGTGCCCCTCGCCCCGCGTCACCTAGGGGGTCCGTACCCCTCGCCCCGCGTCGCCTGGGGTGTCTGTACCCCTCGCCCACCTCACGCCCTGCGCCCCCTCGCCCCGCGTCGCCTGTGGTGTCCGTACCCCTCGCCCCGCGTCGCCTGTGGTGTCCGTACCCCTCGCCCATCTCACGTCCTGTGTCCCCTCACCCTGTGCCCCCTCGCACCAGCTTGTGATGCCCTGAATCGCCTGTAAGGTCAGCACACATTGCCCACCTCACGCCTGTGTCCCCTCGCACCAACTTGTGATGCCCTTAATCATCTATCGTGTACATACACATCGCCCACCTCACGCCCTGCATCCCCTCACCCTGTGTCCCCTCGCACCAGCTTGTGATGCCCTGCATTGTCTGAGAGGTAGGCACATATCACCCACCTCACACCCTGCATCCCCTCGCACCAGCTTGTGATGCCCTGCATCGTCTCAGAGGTAGGCACACATCGCCCACCTCACACCCTGCGTCCCCTCACACCAGCTTGTGATGCCCTGAATTGCCTATCGTGTACGTACACATCGCCCACCCCTCGCCCTGTGTCCCCTCATGCTGTGTCCCGTCGCACCAGCTTGTGATGCCCTGCATTGCCTATCTTGTACGTACGCATCGCTCACCTCACGTTCTGCATCCCCTCACCCTGTGTCCCCTCACACCAGCTTCATGGTGCCCTGCATTGCTTATCGTGAACGTATGCATCACCCCCCCCTCGCCCTGCATCCCATCAGGCTTGCCTCACGGGGTCCCACCTCACCTCACACCCAGCTGTCTTGCCCACACCCTGTGTCCCCTTGCACCAGCTTTGTGATGCCCTGAGTTGCCTATAACATAGGTATGCATCGCCCACCTCATGCGCTGCGTCCCCTCACGCTGTGTTCCCTCACACCGGCTCTGTGATCCCCTGCATTGCCTATAATGTACACATGTATTGCTCGTGTGTCATTCATGCCCTGTATCCCCTCACTCCACCCTCATAAGCACTACGAAAAGGAGTACTTGTGGCACCTTAGAGACTAACAAATTTATTTGAGCATAAGCTTTCGTGAGCTACAGTCCACTTCATCGGATGCATGCAGTGGAAAGTACAGTGGAGAGATTTATATACACAGAGAACATGAAACAATGGGTGTTACCACACACACTGTAAGGAGAAAAAAGAAGAGGAGTACTTGTGGCACCTTAGAGACTAACCAATTTATTTGAGCATAAGCTTTCCTGAGCTACAGCTCACTTCATCAAGTGATCACTTAAGGTGAGCTATTACCAGCAGGAGAGCAGGGGGGGGAACCTTTTGTAGTGATAATCAAGGTGGGCCATTTCCAGTAGTTGACAAGAACATCTGAGGACCAGTGGGGGGTGGAGGGGGGGGAATAAACATGGGGAAATAGTTTTACTTTGTGTAATGACCCATCCATTCCCAGTCTCTGTTCAAGCCTAAGTTAATTGTATCCAGTTTGCAAATTAATTCCAATTCAGCAGTCTCTCGTTGGAGTCTGTTTTTGAAGTTTTTTTGTTGAAGAATTGCAACTTTTAGGTCTGTAATCGAGTGACCAAAGAGATTGAAGTGTTCTCCAACTGGTTTTTGAATGTTATAATTCTTGATGTCTGATTTGTGTCCATTTATTCTTTTACATATGCGCTGCCCACATCTCTCACACACCCTGTATCCCATCCCGGCATTCTGCATTACCCATAATGTACACATGTGATGCCCACATCTCACCCACGCCCAACATCATCTCATACCAGCCTTTTGGGGCCCTATGTCACACCCAGCATATACCCACACCAACCATATCTCACAAGTTCCCTGTATCCCTTTCCCTGCCTCACAGGGCCCCACATCGTCTGCAACGCAAGGTTACGCAGCCCATTTGTCCAGAATACTCCTCGCAGCCACCTTGTGGGGGCCTCATGTTGTCCCAGTGCAGACTCTCACTAGGCTCAACACGTGTCCATATTCCTCCCTTGCACTAGCCAGGAGTGACTCCATATTACTCCTCAGCACAGGCCTATTCTGGGCCCATCACACACAGGACCCATATCTCCCCACAGTGTCTTCAGTCATCAGACACATCTGATGTACACACCTTAATTTCATTGATGCTCTTACTACCTGTTACTTCAGGATGCAGGCCAGAGGCCAGCATTTCTGACACATTCCCAGTATCCTCACCATGTTAACCCCGCTTTAACATACAATGCAGGCCCACACTGGGCCTTTTAGGGAGAATAAACTTTCTGAAACCTCAATGTCCTCATCTGAAAGTATTAAGTATACATTATTTACTTGGAAGATTATAACAGGGAGAATTGGAGACTCACACTTTGGAGATCAGTTACATTAAGAGCATTACCAAGAAGAACCAATCAATCAGTGTCTACATTAATTTTGCGGGGCCAGTTCCTCCCCATATTATTTACTGATTTATATTAATTATTTGATAAAGTAATTTTTGTTGTCTAACAATAATTAATTCAATGGTAATTAAATGTTCAGTTATTCACTATTTAGTTTTCAGTATGCTTTCTCTGTATGTTGTTAACACCATGTTGGGGGGCGGGGGGGCTTGTTAATACTCTGTTCTTTTATATGTGAGTCCTTTATGCTCAATGTAACATAACCTTTTTTGTGGATCAGCCTTAACAAATATAGGTCTATAGATGACTAATAAGGGAAATGAAGTATCAAGGAAGCTTAAAATCCTAATGTAGTTCTTTCTGGGCCCACCTAAACATCTCTAGAATAATTGGTCTGTGTCTAGAGCTATATTTCCTGTTTCTCTAAACCAGAATTCCTGTTGCTTTCAGACACATGTGGTTGACTATTATTCAGAGATAAGGAAAATTACCCCTTTGTGGTTTGTGCAATTTACTTCTTGCCCCAAACTTGACAATATCTTGATTATGGCCTTTGTTCTTTTATTGTTCCCTTGAAGATGCTGTTCTCAGTGGGTGGTCCCCAGAGGTTTTGGTTGCCTCCTTGTTTTCTTGTGTTCCACCTGTCTGTTTCATCCATCTGTTCTCTCTCATCTTCTGCTTAGATCTGTAAGCTCCTTAGGGCAGAGACTGTCTCTGCTGTGTGTTTATACAGCACCTAGCACAATATATGTATATGAACCATACCCGATACCCCTAGGCACTACTGTAATACAAATAAATAATAATTAATTGAACACTCCTCTCCTACTTCCTGGCTTGCATTTGCAAGGATATCCTGTCATAGCCCATCTATCTTTTACTGATTTCAAGGAAACTGTAGATCAGCCTTCTTTTGGGTTCAAGTACCTGTCACTGTCTGTTGGATGCCTGCTTTCTAGAAGCACCTAATATTCAAAAAAAGATAAGACTTTGATTAACTGCCCTTGCTTATGAAAAAGTTGTCTGTCAAGCTTACAGCTGGGAATTCAGGAATCTGTTTCCCTAAAACTTTCTTTACATATCTTCAATTTAATTTTGTAAAAGTTAAAGCTGCATAAAGTACCTTATTTATTTGTAGTTCATATACTGCAATTTACTTGAATCGCTTATGTAGAGTGACTTTGCATGCGCCTTACATTTTAAAAGAGCAGAAAAGCAAAACAAAGCTTTTTTTCTGGTTCTTTACCACCTATAAAAGTAATGCTTTATGCCTCGTTTGACACTTGTTACGGGCACTTTACAAACGTGTGTTAGGAGAGAGTCCCTTCCCCAAAGAAGTTACAGTATAAACAGATGGGACAGACAAAAGGTAGAAGAAAGGAAGTAGTATTTATCCCCGTTCTACAGATGGGGAGTTGCGACAGGCGAAGTAACTTGCCCAAGGCACACAGAAAGTCTGCGACATAGTGGAAATTGAACTCAGGTCTCCTGAGTTCCAGTCCATTGCCTTAATCACAAGACCAACCTTACTTTTGTTTTAACCCCCGCCACACACACACACATCATGTAAAATAAATTTCAATATATAAATGCATATATCAAAATGTATACATTAACTTTAGAATATACATAGAATGTACACTTTAATGGGCATGCTTTATCTTTTGATTTGTGGGGTTAAGAGTGT